ACAAGTCCCTAACCTTACCCGTATCCCACCAAGTGTTTTGCAATACAATATATTATGAACACAATAAGTACACTTATTTTTTTATGTAAGTACATAGTAGTTAAGGACACCTAATATAAAGTGTGACCGCTTAGACTTCATTCTCTCTTTCGCCCTCGTCTAAAATGTCTGTTTGTGAGGAAGTAGTATTGTGTTTTGCTGATGTTGCTGTTCTGATTGTGTTTAGCACCGTGCATCTATTGCACTAGTGACTTTATCCTAACCTTGTTTTTCCTCATTAAAAGAGGATTTGTTTCACATGAGCCTCTAGGACATCCTGTTCCCAACACACACAACTTTTCTGTCCGTTTTCTGCAGTCAGTCTTTAGAATAAGGGTCAAACATAACATGTACATTAAATTGGAATGGCTGACTTGTAAGATACAGTGGCCTCAATATGTATTTGGGTAATTAAGCAACATAAACATGTTTGAATGTCATTGCATCAGATCAGGGATTCCTCAACTTTTTTGTCAGCTGAACCCCTTTGACATAATCATTTAACAACATATTCACATGTTGGTTATGGTCACATGACATGCAGGTAAACATTTTTTTTAGAACACATTTACTTTGTTTTGTTTTTATGATTTAATTAATTATTAGAACCCACAGCAGTTCCCTTGCAAACATCCAGGGGTTTTCAAATCCTGCATTAGATAAAATTATCAAACCAAGTGGGATCTGCAAACAAATTGTGCATTTTTCAGAACAAATTTCACTTTTCTCAGTAGCTTTTGCAATGACGTTTAACCAACTGATCTCCAAGTGATTTTTAAGTGTGGCTGAAGTGCACAAATACTTTTTGGGGCCACTGTATCTTTCTAATTGGTATTTGAAGGAAACTGTTTGGTGCTGAGGGACTAGAGTCTTATCTGTGAGTCACAGGAAGATACAAAAATCAGACACAGCCTCCATTGTGTTTGCAATCGCTAAAGCTGAAATCTCAGACTCCTTTTCTCATATCCTGTTTTTACAGAAACACTGAGCACTGCCTTCTGAAACGATCACAGGGACAACAGAGCGGGATAGAGACGGAGATGGACAGCAAATACTAAAAGCACTTTAAATGTGCTGAGGGAACAACTGCTCTTTCCCTTATCAGATGACCTTATGTAGGTTACACACGCCACATGTGCTTACATCCAGCAGAAAACAGACAGACGGCATTAGTGGGATCATTCGGGTAACTGGAACCGTAGTTCCTCCACACCCTTTTCTAAGCTTGATCTGAAAAAAATAAACAACCCGTTTCCTTTTACTCTTTAACAAAGTATTAATTATCGCGGCGTTCACACGTTCTAGGGATTAGTTTGTTTGAATGTGCTTATTGGAAGCCATTCATTTGGAGATACTTTTACCAAAAGCACAAAACAAACACTTCATTATAGTACTCTTCTGTCATTTAGACAGAAAATGCTCAATTAAAACATAAAATGCTGTTGAGTCAACTTGTGTTGAGTTTATAGTCAACACAAGAGCTATTTCCTGAGAAATGTGACCTCTTGAGGATGTCATGTGACCTTTGCGATGACAAATATTCCTCTGCACACATCCCCTTCCTTTAGCTCCTCAATCTGTAATGTACATAATATTTCCGACTGTCCTCACGAGTTGTTATTCGACCATGTTTGGCCATTACCTAGAGGGCAACACTGAAATAACACAGCAAGAGTTTCAATCAGCGAACAACTTGTCTCTTAAGAACTTTTCTTTTGCTCTTACTGGTGACCTAGATTCAAAGTTTGAAAAGGACTGGGACATGAGTCCAATCCCACAAGCCCTATCCACAAGTAGATACAAGCCCTAGTTTAATACGTCCTCTAAAAGTGCCTCGTTTCCACTGAGCGGTACGGTACGGTACAGTTCGGTTCGGTACGCAATTATTTGCGTTTCCACTGTCAAAAGTTGTGAATGGTACCAAAAAGCCGAACCGTACCGTACCACTTTTTGGGTACCCTTCCGTTGGGGTACCTAGCACAGTGGTACGGTACTAAAAGGTGGAGCTAGACTCACTGCAGAACGGTGATTGGTTGACAGAGTATCGTCACTTGCGCGTGCTACAAGGGCATTAGAAGCATACAGTTAAAATATAATACTACTGTTATTGTGTCACGAAATGTAGTTTTAAGAGTTTTTCAGGCGAGAAAGTAGTTTTTTAAAGCTCAAATCTGTGGTTTATTTATAGATTTATGATCATTTGAAGATCCATTCCAAGCAATCACCGGACGCTCGGCGCTCGTGCACCCCGCCTGGAGCAGCCTTTCCCCGGCTAGCCGTTCTGATGTTTGCCGCTGACTCTGACGTCTCTGTAGTGGTTAAACTTGAGATATAATTCGTCTTGTACAGACCTAACAGGCGATCTTTGGTCTCGTGAATCTATAATTCGTTCCCTGGCCAATAGTTTTGGCAGAAGGCTAAGTAAAGTATAGGCTATTTGAGCGCTGAATTTGTATATTTGACTGAATTGTTTGCTTTGTGATTAAAGCTTTACTGTATATATTTTTGTACCTTTTACTTATACTTTTATAATGGCTATTATTATAAAACTGAAATTCACCAAAAATAGATAGTTTTGTCATTTATTTTATTTTATTACAAGATCATCTGTAATGTTGTTTATTGCAACATTTGTACCAATGCAATATGCAATTCATTGCCTGGAATATGTTTAATATTTTTAAATTTAAACGAAAAGAGGCAGGATTGTGTTTTATATTTAGTTTTGTTAAATATAACGTTACATACATGCAGTGAATATAATCAATAGGCTATGCATTGCGTTGCCTGAACCACATTTGTGTGCTTATAATGTTTAAAATGTATTTAAATTAAATCGAAAGAAGCAGAGTGGTGTTTTATAACATATTTCGTTTTATTGTTGCCTTAAATGTACATAACCGGAGTAGCAGAGCGAGCTGAGTGGCGCATTCAAGAACGCGCTGACGCTGTTCCATTAGCAGAATTACTGGACTCGCGTCCTCGGGATCATTCTCCTGAGTCGGACTTTGCGTGGCTACTTGGTATTGAGAAACGCCTAATGCCAGCGCTTGTTTCTTGTGACAAACATCCCGAGAAGCAAGAACAAGATCTGCTGTCTGTCATCCATTGTTGTTTACTATGTCGCTTTTGTTCGCGCGAAAATGACGTCGATCGCTTCTCTCCGGCATACACCACGCCTATCAAGTAGGGTACTGTTGGCAGTGGAAACGCGAGCCCCGATCATGGTTTAGCGACCCGACCCGAACCGTACCGTACTGAACCGTACCGTACCACTCAGTGGAAACGAGGCATAAAAGACTGAACGAAAAAGTGCTGAATCTAAAAACAGTCTGGACAAATGTCCTCTCTACTTGAAAAGCATTTGACCTTACTAGTAAATACTAAGGCTGTGATGACGGTACAATTATATATATGGTAACACTTTAGTTTAGGGTCCAATTCTCACTATTAACTAGTTGTGTATTAGCATGCATATTACAATGATATTGGCTGTTTATTAGTACTTATAAAGCAAATATTAATGCCTTATTCTGCACAACTTTATTCTACATCTCTTAACTCTACCCAATACCTAAACATAACAACTACCTTACTGGGTATTAATAAGCAGTAATTAGGAGTTTATTGAGGCAAAAGTCGTAGTTAATAGTGAGAATTGGACCCTAATCTAAAGTATGACAATATATATTGATATTGCATTTGATACTTTAAATACTTGCATCAACATATACATTTATTGGTCAATTATAGCTGAAGTGTGTCATTTCTCCAGAGATTTAAAACTATTTTCTTCTCTTTTATGTGTTTGCTGCAGTTTTAGTCATGATCCAAGTATGATATCCTGATGCATCCCAAAGTACTGAATCGACATGCATCATATCATAACATATCAGGGCTTCAGAGTGTGAGTGAAATGGTTGCAAATGCGACAAAAAAAATACTAATTGGCAAAAAATCTAGTCGGCATTAATGACAGACAGGATTCACAAACAAATGAACCGGTTGTTTTCAAGGAGTCAGTCAAAAAGATTCACAAAGCATCCACATACTTCCTTGCAATTTCACAACTAAACAAGGTTGACAACATTTCTGCAAAAATAGTATTGTGTTGCTTCTTGCATGTGTTCAGTTTTATCCGCAAACTACCACATGAACTAAGCCCTACCCTGAACCTAACCGATAGCGTTAACAAAAACAGAGTGAGATGACAATGCATTTGCTGATTTAACTTTGCCATTTTAGCTTACATACAAGTCTTTGAGCTCTGTTTGTTATGGTCAAAGTGTCTTACTTTTCAAATAATACACTATGCTAAAAGTGTTTTGAGGTCACAGCATAGTATTGTGCAAGGAACCATGTGAAAATACATCAATCTGCCAATGTAATCATAATTTGTGGGAAAAGGAATAAAAGTTGTTGGTGTTTTACTGCCACTAAAGTTCATTTCAGTTGGAAATGGCAGTGAATTGAATGTATAGGTAAGTTTTACAAATGTATGTAGGTAGAGGCACATAAGGTAGCTCTACTAAACACCACTTCATTCATCTGTCTTCTACAGTCATTAAATTACAAGGAACCAGATAACGCTAATAAGACTTCATTAGGAGCGATACAGTGTCCAATAGGTGAAAGCCAGCAAGATGTTTGCATCAAATGAAACCCAATTGACCTCACTTCAGTCAAGGAGGAACTGGAACTGTAATAAAAAGCCTCTGGGTGTTAGAGCTGCCGTGAAAGCAGTGATCAGACGCCTGGCCTCAGATAGCCTTGATTATAAGTTATAACAGTGGAGAAGAACCATCTCGCAAACTACAGGGTGCGATGAAGAATCCTCCCATCATGGAACTGACACACTCTTCATCATCCTCTTCTGACAGATTGTGACAGATTGGACCTTGAGAACACACTCACACACACCAACAATATACAAAAACCTGCATTCAAAAGCCAGTTGTTACCTCAGATTTAGCCGGCGCTCATCGTCACTTCCAAAGTCCTGGGAAAATAAAAAGGAATGAAACAGAAGTTAGTTATCTAAAACAAAAGAGCACTAAGACACGTCCACACTATTCTATTTTAAATTGTATTGCTTTGAGCCTCAAGATAAAGAACAGAGCAGGGTGCATCTTTTCTGATGTGATAAATCAAACCACGTCTTCACACATCTTCTAGTACCAAACCAAATTATAAGTTATAAATTCAGCATCTGTTTGAAAATGTCAGCACAATACCGGAATAAATAATGGAGAGGCCAGAATCCCTCAGGCCTCGGAACTTTTCCAAATTCCACAACCTCACCCGACTCAAACCCAGCGCAACGCACAACAATCTGGCTTAAACATGTTTCTTTTTTCCCTCCACATGATCTCTCGCTTTCTCTCTGCTAAATGTGTAACATTTAAATACAATACAAGAGCTATGTGTCCTATATAACAAAAAAAGCTTTGATATTTCACTATTCACAGCAGCGTAATATGACAAAGGAGAAATGTTCTCTCAAAGCTGAAACGTGAACAACGGGGCCTCTCCTTGAGATAATGTTTCATCATAACAAAGAGTGTTTTTTAAATAGTTCCTCACTGTATGTGAAAGTGACGGCCCTGGTTATTAGGTTACTGATAGTGGTGTGTAGCACTGAATGGAGGCAGGGCAGTGTGCCATGGTCAGATGTGACTGATGCCTGAAGGGGAAGAAACCGTGACAGAGGAAGTGGTTGTGCCAGGGTTTCTGTCACGTACCAAAATCTGTCCCTTCATGCAGAAGCTGGGCTTATAAAACTTTATAAGCAGGGCAGAATGAGGAGAGGAAATAATGAGGTTTGTGAAGTGAACAGAAACAGACTTTATGGAGGCATGAGGGTTTTCTGAGATTTACTAAAGTGGAAGAACAGACAGCGTGGGGCGAACGGTGAAAAATAAGAAGGTAGAAATCAATATTGTGCTCCTGAAGATTCGCAAAACATTTTAATTCTGTAATTTCTGAGTGAAATTCAAATCATATATGCACAATAAGAACGTGAATTAAAGGACTAGTTCAAATGTTGTTTCAGAAATTCCTGGTCTTTCCAATATACTGAAAGTGAATGAAGACTGGGGCTGTCAGACTTCATATAAAGCCCCATAAAATATAGGTGTGTAACGATACATGGATAAAGATCTAATTATGACTAATGATGTGATGTATTGATAGAGCGTTTATCAACATACCTTTTTAAGATGCACCTATATTTTGACACACCTATGTAAGCCACATCTGCATTATACAACTCTACTTGGGATTGCAGCAAAGATAATAGCATAATCTTTTGATTTCACAGGAATCTTACATTTATTGAGGAATTCTGAATATGATAAAAGTAGGCCTTGTTCATTAAGCATCTGACTAACAGTAAGTATTCCATAGTCATACCAAGTCTAATTAAAGATAGACTTTTTTTTTTTGTACAAGATATCTCTATTATTCCATATAAAGTACCGATGTGGTGAAAAGTTGTGTTTATAGATTAATTGTCAAGCCAGCAGTGCCTGCTTATGGAAGTTTGCCAGTTTATTTGGGATTTCTTCAATAGCAAAATTACATTTTTAAACGAACATTGATGCCACCGCCATTTTTCACTTTCTCTTGTCAACTAGTAAGAGATATGACCGACGTCATGTATTACTCACCAATATAACACATATCACCCTGCTGAAATAAAAGAGGTAAGCAAGGACTAAAATAAAGCAAATTAATATGAATTAATATAGATTCTGGAATAAAAAATATTTTTTTTTCAATCATTTTTAAATAATTTTTAGATTTTTTTCCCCCCAGCCCAAGTAGATTCCCGATCACGTTTTCTTTTCGAATCATCATAAGTAAAATCATCAAAAGTAATGTACAGCGTCATCAAGACCAGTCTAAGCCCCCCAAACCCTGTGTCATTTTCAGTAAGTTCTGTAGTGTTTAGGGTTGGGCCGATGGACGATGACGTGATTGTTGACAGACATTACGATGTTTAGACGGCATCGCTGCTCTTGACTGAATAACTTTTGTGACTTTAATTGTAAGCATTAATGTGTTTGCAATGAGAACTATCCAGTGTTATTTGATTACTTTCATTTCTGTAGTATTTGTTATTACCTGAAATCTACTGATAGACACGCCTAAAAGATTTAAAGCCATGTTTATATCATGTTTATTGTCTCTATATTCTATTTTTTTTTTTTTTTATTCATCAGAAATTTGCCTTAAGTGTTTTCGTGAAAAAAAAAAGCTCATACATGTTTGGAACGACATAAAGAATGTTTTGATTTCATGTTGAATTTTACCTGAATACCACACAAAGCTTGCACAGATTTTTACCCTTGGAACGTTAAAACCAATAACATCACCGTATTTATTCCTCAAAAAATGAGTTCTCTACACCTTCTTTCTATCAGCCCATCTATCTATCCCTCTCTCTCTCTCCCTCCTTCTGCATGAGATGACATCACTGCAGCTGCATGTTCCCAGTCCTCATGTTTGAGGTCGTGCTGTGAATTCTAAATAGTGTGTGTCCTCACTAGCGTAACGCATTATGCAATCATTCTTAGATTTAAGTACTATGTTATATATCTAAAGATAGGAACAATCGAGGGATAAAAACGAAGGTCAGGTCCAACTAAAAAGAAAAAGACCACATTTCCTAAGAGGTTCAAGAATGTTGTTAATCTGATCCTGATACTGCGGCAGAAACCGAATTGAAGTGTGAAAGTGTTATGCCCTGAACTGTGTGTATATAATAAAAATAGTACACAAATATCTATCATTAAGCAAGAGTTAGTACTCTCATAATACAGTATCTGATGGATGTGTTTTGTGCATCATTCAAATGTGTAGAGCTAGCGCCTCCTACTGGTTGTATAGTACAATGGTTTTCTAAGACAACTGTGATGTCAGAGGAACTATTAATTTATGAAGGTGGGGTGCTCATGTAGGAAAGACAATTTAAAACCTACAAGACCATTCCTAAAAAAGCAGGGTTTTCCTGACACTTTTCAGAACCACCTCCTGAGAATCACTAAGTAATAAAGCCCATTCAGCTCTCCTAGTGAGACTGGCTAAAAGGGTCCCGCTCCTAATGAAAAGGTAAAAACAGGAGGCCTTTCATTGCATGAGAGGAGCTTAGCTGTGCCATGACACAATGACTTAGATTTAAATTTCTGTTGAGAAGAAATGCAGTCATCGGGGGGGTGGGACCTTTAACTTTCACACAAAGAACAGCAGCTCATGAAGGGCTAGTGTAACAAAAATTGACCGCCTGCAGATTTGCACCACACAGATACGGTAGCAAAGTATACCACTAATTTGTGGAAGCACAAATTAGGAACTATGGGGAACGGGGAAGACAGTGTTCAGTATTTCTGTTGTTGGACAGTTTTATTGTATACAGGAAAGACCATGACCAAAAAGCTCCCCCCTTTTTGACAGTTCCTCTGTTAAAATGGCTTGACCAAATGAATGGAAGCACACAGTCCAACACAATACCATGAGATAAAACAAACTCCTCCATTTACTAACACATACAATGACGAGCAACAAGTCATTATATTTTCAATAAAAATATAACCACAGAATGCAGTGGCATAATCTGTGTGCTTATTTTTGTATACACATCTTGCCATTTAACGGTGCACTAAGTTTTTGTTTAGTTTTAGCTGGTCCCTAATCTGTCCCATTAATACCAACTGTTATGGCATATCTGTATATAATATATAAAGTGTGTTTTGTAAAGATGTGCTGGTTTTATTAAGATGTGTATGCACAAATAGTAACAATACCATCTGGAACATGGTACATGAAATATCTCATCATAGACCAAAATTAAAAAGACATACATTTATTAATTAGTAAGTATAATCCAAGAACATAGCTTATATTACTTTTATGTTTATGCGTTGCAAAGCACTTTGCACGTTGACTCACTCAATTGCATGACAAGGCCGGTCATGTGATGTCAACAGCGGCACCCATAAAGTGACGACCCGCTTCATAACAGCTTTTTATAGGCTGATATGTCTGAAGTCTTCATCTTTTGTGGGTGTACATAGTTTCAACGATTTATTCCCAAAAGTGTCATTCATTTGTATAAAGTTGTAGTAAAACATACTGAGTGCACCTTTAAGACTTGGCATGGTCTCCACGATTAATCCTTAGTTAAACCAGTCTGTACCAAACAAAACAAAGTGTTTTGTGCTTCGTTTACTAAACTTAGACGCATTCTTTCACAATCGTTGAACCACAAATCGCAGGACAGCCTGGAAGCAAGCCATTAGCTCAATAAAGTACAACAGCCCTGTCAAACTCTCTCTCCTGGTGACAGAATCCAAATCAAGAGCATCACACCTCATCTAACCACAACCATAAAACCACCAGCAGAGATTAAGCAAAATCACAAAACACACAAGATGAAGGTGATTGATCAAGAACAACTCAACTTAGGCCAAAAATTATATGCACATATGTGTGACTAGTTTATGTACATAATATACATAAGTAATGGTATGTGGGCTATAGTGCATAAAAAGCCCAAGGCGAATCGTGTCATCTCTGAACAGAGTGACACAGCGTTCAATCCTCCATCAACCCTGATGGCATCCCGCTAGTTAGCTCTACAGCCTGAGCTGTATTAGCATTGGGCCTACGTGACTAATTTATATATGCGTCCCTTTATGTATTTTATAAAACATTACATCATCTCATCTCAGCGTGTTTATTTCCGCTTACCTCCCCCGCGTTGGTGGTGGCGGTGCTGGAAGTGGACGCCGCGCTGGGAGTGGGCGAGCGCTGCAGGGTTACCAGAGCCATGGATGGAAATCTCCCAGCACAACGGCCAATCTAACTGTCACAAGCTAAATCGACTAGCGGATTTCCCCCTAGCAGCAGCAGCGCCAGATACACGGGGACTGTGCTGCAACTCCACGCGCTCGGTGGGGCCACTGTTAAAATGCCATATGGCTGAGCCGCTGATCGGCGTTGTTTCTGTCGCTGAATCCGCTTTGACATGAGCTGGATGATGTTTGGTGCTTCTCTCTCTCTCTCTCTCTCTCTCTCTCTCTATTACTCACTGCCGCATGTGGCTGAAACACTGACTACTATTGCTGCTGCCTATAGTGGAGTTTGCGATTCAGTGTTTTTGAATGAATCTTTTATGTGAACGAATCGTTCTCGTTCACCGAATCTATCTCCCTTTCGAAGCCAAAGACTGACCTTAGCATGGACCAATAGCATTCGAGTATGGGCTGAGTGTGGAGCATATCATTGGTTGGACTTACTGAACGAACAAGCCCTTTACTGAACGAGTCAGTGTTTTGAATCTGAATCTCTTTGGATATATTGAATGATCTGGGTGCACCTCTTGTTTGTGGGAATGTAATGACAAGGAGGAGGTTACTGAAACTCAGTTTATTTAGGCAATCTTTGTTTTGTATTTTGCTTGATAAAAGCCATGCCATGCAGTAAGACTAAAATGAACAGGCATGCAATGGTAAATGTTGCCGGCTCAACATCGTGATGTCTGTCAGCCATCGGCGATGGACGATGACAGTCTATCGGCCCAACCCTAATGCAGACTGTTTCGAGAAGTCTGACTGTTTCATGTTTCATGTTTGTTTAAAGGAGTGTTGCGGTCGTAAATCACTCGGTCCAATTACAAATCGGTTGAATGGGTGATTCAATGACGTCAGTGATTCAATATAGGACAAAAAGACACCCACTTGTCGCCACCTACTTGGCTAACGACACAACATGCCGGGGCACTGAAATTTTGAACAAATCTTTTTTGCGTGAATGGAGATTAAAAATATTTTTTCTCTATTCAAAGATGATCTAGACAAATACATGGAAACTACCAAAAGCTCTGTTAATCCCAAAGCAATGAAAACTATTCATCCTTTTTGTCCTCTTAAGGTAAAAATGTATTGCATTGTTCTTGTTCTCTTACGAGAGTATCTCTCGTACTGCGTAATATCTTACGCTATGGGGAAAACCTCTTTTCCACGAGATATTGAAGCCAAAAATTATCCTTAATTTTGAATTAATGTAAAACGCTGTGCAGCAGCATGCAGACATAGGCAGGACGGCTCGCGTGCCTATTGGCTGCCCTGCTGCAACAGCAGCAGCCTATCGAGAGAGGCGCTGCGTGACACCATATCCAATGGGGGCATTTCGCGCCCATTTCGTCACGTCCCGCCAGAAAGGGTGTGGTCTCGCCCTATAAATATAGCTCGATAAGGCTGGTACACTGATTTTCATCTCTTCAGCGAAGCCTCTCGCATCGCTGGATCCGGAGTGAGAAGCCGCGCCGTCGACGCAAGCCTTTCAGCGGGACGAGCTTCTGGAGTCGCTGGCCTCGCCACCTTCAACTGCGTACCTGCTGCGCTTTCCGGCGTACTATATATCCTTTACTCTGCTCTGTGTGTGTGTATGTGTGTGTGTGTGTGTGTGTGCTCACCCCACGACTCACACTTCTATCATCTAAAAGAGCCGCGTCTTTGTAAAGATGCCATCCTCCTGTGGCTCGTGCCGAGCCACACTCAGCGACGGGGACCGCCATGTGATGTGTTTCCTGCCTGTGAGAGGATCATGCAGCTCTCGCGCTCGCCGACGGCGGCTGCCCTCACTGCGAGCTATTGCCTACGGTGACTCTGAGGACTCGCCTGGCATCCTTCAGCGAGACTGCACTTCCACCCGCTGCAGTGCCGCGCCGTAAAAAAGCGCTGTACTCAGCGGGTCCCCGAGCCTTCTCCAGCCCGTGAAAGCTCGCCGGTTCGCCTGCCAGCTTCACCAGCTTTACTCGAGTCGCTCACTGACGGATAACGGCCGCCGCGCGCCGCCGCTTCCGCCATTAATGACGACGAGATAGCTGCATCTGTAGAGGAGACCTGCTGCTCTATCCTGGCGTCGGACAGTGAGGACTGGGCGAGCTCTGTGGACCTCCCCCTTCTGTCCGCGAGTCGTCAGGGAAACGGGCCAGCATCAAGACCGCGAGCCCTAAAACCGCGGCTAGCTTTCTTTACGTTATAAGAAATCTACCCCGCCCCCCATGAGATGAGAAAATGAGAAAAGAGTGTGTTTTAGTCCCGCCGAGGCCGGACTAATCTCTATTTCTCAAACATTTCTCAGCTCCTAGTTTGAGCGGCTGAAAATGTCATTATTGCAGCAATGAGCCTGTTGTATAACACGCACACCTGCATACAAACGCTCTCCCTGTGGCTCAGTGGCGGAACCCGAAGCCTTCGCGCGAGAGACCTGTGTTCCGTCCCGGCTCTCGCAGCAGATAAAAATTTAGTCTCGCCGCGGCCAGACTTCCACCGAAATTTTTCGCTCGTTCAGTTCCAGAAAATGCGACTGTTCCAGTGTATTTTGCAGTAAACAAGCCGGTACCACGGCCCGCTTGCCTGCACATAAAGGCCGTTTCCACGGCGACCCAGAAAAATCATGTAATCATTGTATTTCTGGTTTTCCGGCCACAGCCGATGGTGTTATAAGTAGGGATGGCCCGATACCGATACTGGCATCGGGGATCGGGCCGATACTGTCCTAATATACTCGTACTCGTACTCATAAAAATTCGCCGATACCACGCACCGATACCACGTACATTTTGCAAAACGAAACTGGCCGCCGCGAGTGCTTTGTCGAGGTGAACTGAGGCATAGGAAAGTATAGGCTAATGTCGGCGGTTTGGGCTCATTTCAAGATAAGGGATGATGACAACAGCAAGGCAGACTGTGAGTTATGTTCAGCTAAGGTGTCGAGAGGAGGGAAAGAAAGTACATCGTTTAACACCAGCAATCTAATTAAACATCTGAAGACGCATCATAGATCTGATGGCCGAGCGCGCGCGACTCCCCTCACCGCTCAAAACGGACTTTTTTGTTCAGTGCTGAATTCTGCATGCTGGCAAATCCTCTAATTATAACAAACAAAGTGTGGATATTATGAAAGATTGATTGTGCAGTCAGCTTCATTGATAATAACAGAGATGTGTGAGATCGCGATGAACTGTCAGCTTTTAGGATTTATTAAGGGAGCGCACTTTGCGCGCATTCAGTCATGCCAGACCATGCACGCAGTAGCCTGCTTGCTTTTATGTTAAATTAACAGCGGTTTGTGTGTTAATACATTTATTATTTTACTCATTTTTATTTATTTTTTAGACTTGTTAAAACAAGCAGAGAAGAAAATAAAAACAGTCTTCTAACCTGTGTTCTAAAATAGTCGTCTTCTTTTCTGGGAGCCTATTACTTTTGCGGTAGAAATATCGGTATCGGTACTCGGTATCGGCAAGTACACAAATGTAAATACTCGTACTCGTATCGGTTTGAAAAAAAATGGTATCGGGCCATCCCTAGTTATAAGTGTAATAAAATGCTCACAGCCCAGTGTTCATTTCTACACACAAACACAGCCCGCCACGGTACAGGGCTCGCACAAATGAAATCGACGCATGTCAATTGTGCATTAAATGTAGTGAATGTGCCCACAACCCAGTGCCCACAAACACTACCATGGTTTCTGTAAAACGAAACCAACACAAGTCTTCCTAGCCTCCTAGGAAATCGACGGTTTTCAGTCTCGCCGCGGCCAGACTTCCACTGAAATTTTCGCTCGTTCAGTTCCAGAAAATGTGACTGTTCCAGTGTATTTTGCAGTAAGCAAGCCAGTACCACGCCCGCTTGCCTGCACACAAATGCTGTTCCCACGGCGACCCAGATAAATCACATAAACAGTGTATTTTCTGGTATTCCGGCCACAGCCGATGGTGTTATGAGTGTAATAAAAATGCCCACAACCCAGTGCTCATTTCTACACACAAACACAGCCCGCAAAAATGCAGGGCTCGCACAAACAAAATCGCCTCATGTCGATTGTGCACTAAATGTAGTGAATGTGCCTACGTCTCAGTGCCCACAAACACTACACACCACATGTCCCACTGGTTCTGTAAAAACGAAACCAACACGCATTCAGTCAGCTCAGGCCGACGGTGTTTTTCAGTGCAGTAAATGTGCCCGCTGTCCTGCGCCCACATTCACTCACAGACATGATAAGCCCCACGGGGCTCGCCCCGCTCTCTCTCCCTCAGCAAACTGCTATAAGGGTTTTGAGCGCGACCAGGCTCCCCCTTCCGCGATCGGCGCGCCCCCCGCCTCACACACTGTAAACACAGTGTCTGCGTTACAGCACGCCGGAGCTCCCTTGCCGTCACTATGTCACGGCCAGAGCCCAGATCTCATTCTACCCCTAGCTATTCACGCGAAAGTGTGGGCACAGCTTCCTGGGGTATCAGAATGGGTGCTGAACACTATAAAAAGAGGCTATTCGCTACAGTTCGCTCGACGTCCCCGCCATTATACGGCGCGCGTCGAGACGACGGTGAAAAACGAAGTATCTCATCTACTTCGAGCCGAGATAGCGAAACTACTGAGCAAAGGTGCTATAGAACCTTTATCTCAAGCTCAGAGCGAAGGGGGCCTACACAGCAGATATTTTCTCGTACCGAAAAAAGATGGAGGTCTCAGACCCATTTTAGATCTGCGACAGCTGAACAGAGCGCTTGTGAAGCACCAGTTCAGAATGCTTACAACCAGGAAAATCCTCGCGCAAGTTTGCCAAGAGGACTGGTTTATGTCAATAGATCTGAAAGACGCCTATTTCCAGATACAAATAGCGTCCCATCACAGGTGATTCTTGAGATTCGCCTCTAAGGGCCAGGCATATCAATACACAGTCCTGCCGTTCGGCCTGTCCCTAGCACCCTGTACATTTACGAAGTGCATGGACGTGGTTCTCGCACCCCTGAGACTCCAGGGCATGTGAGTTTTGAACTACTTGGACGATTGGCTGATTCTAGCTCGATCTCACTCAGAGCTCATAGAACACAGGGCCACATTACTCGAGCACCTCGAGAATCTGGGCCTCACAGTCAATCGGGCGAAGAGCTCACTGTCCCCCAGTCAGAAAATTTCTTTCTGGGTACAGTGCTGGACTCGCGATCCATGACAGCACGCCTGTCATCGGAGCGCGGACTAGACATTCAGCGCGTCACGAAATCCTTCCGCCACGGCTCT